CCAAGCTACCAAAGCCCCTCCAAGCTACCGCAGCCCCTCCAAGCTACCAAAGCCCCTCCAAGCTACCACAGCCCCTCCAAGCTACCACAGCCCCTCCAAGCTACCAAAGCCCCTCCAAGCTACCACAGCCCCCATGTGTCGTCCTTAAATGCATCCGTCTCAAATCAGCAGCAGTTTTCATCAGCTTGTTTTCATAGTTCATCCATCCATTATTTTTACCTGTTTCTTTCTTTTCAGGTCACTGGTGCCCATGTCCAGCAGTCACTGTGCAAGAGGCGGAGTGGGGGGTAGGGGGGCACCCTGGACAGGTCTCCAGTCAATCACAGGGACACATAGAGACAAACAACCATTCACTCTCTCACTCACACCTAGGGACAATTTAGAGTTACCAATCAGCCTAACATGCATGTTTTTGGTCTGTGGGAACCAAAGAAAACCCACGCATGCACAGAGAGAACTTGCAAACTCCACCCACAAAGACCTACGGCTGGGATTCAGTCCGGCAACCTTCTCATTGAGAGGCACTAACTCTACCAACTGCATGTGTATAGTTTTCCAGGAAATTTGAGTCACATTCTGCCGCATAACCAGCAACAATTCAGTATTTTTGCAAAAGTCTTTACTTTCATCTCAGCTTTTAAGTTACTTGAGAAGATTTAGAAAAATAAAAAAATAAAAGTTTTTTTTAAGACAGAGCCCATTCAGGACAAGAAAGAGACAGCAGTTCTTTTATTAAGGACAAGAAACAGGAAAAAACCTCCTCTGTTTGCTCGTGTGCTCCAGCTGAGGCTACATCTTGACAGGTACCCTCAAGTTGATGACATGCTCCATGTCGGCATGTTCGGACGTGTCCAGTTTGATGTCATACTTGGCCAGAATCTTCATGATGGGCCTGATTTTCAGCCACCACTGTGTCTTCGGGATTCGGTGCCTGCAGCAAAAACACGGTGAGGGTGAGGGACGGTCATCGTTACAGATGATGCAGTAGACGGTGAGCAGCTTACTCAAAGTCTGTCTCTGCCTTCAGGTCGACCAAAGGCTGGAAGGTGAGCGACCTCTTCTTCATGCCCAGCACACAGGCAGAGTCCGGTGTGTTTGCAAAGATACGACCTGAGTGACCAGCAAACAGTTAATCTGTTGCGTAATTTTATTTACTGTACTAACAGAACTCGAGTCTGCAAAGTAGCTCATGTGGGAGTACAAAGTAGCACACAGTGGAGTCACAACTGGGTACATGTACATTAAAATTAGAGTAATGGTGTGCCTGCTGTTAGTTTTACATACTTATCAGCCAGAACATTACAACCGCCAGCTGATAATTGTGTGATAACACACTCGTGGTGCCATTCATCTTGAGATGCGACGTTAAAACGCCACATCTGAAGATGAACAGTGTATTTTGGCCCCAAGATGGCAGCACATCATCCTGTGTTATGAGCTGGAATCACTGGATTGTTTTTTTCCACCACATGCCGCAGATTCTTGACCTTATTTTAGAAGCTTAAACACCGGCCTCTTTGTCATGTTCTGCAAACCAATGTCTGAGTAACTGCTACGATCAGACACTTGGACTTTCATGGTTTTTGCTGCTTTCAGCTCACTAATCATGTTAAGAAACTGTTCACTTGCCCCATTATACGTTTCATTCTTCACAGGGATTGTTCAGCTCTTTTGAAGTGGGATTCAGCAGGAATGTTATTAAAAAATCATAGCTTACTTGTTTTAGAAAGCCCTTTGAACGATCTTGGTTTGGAGAAAAAGACCAGACTGACGAGCTAACGTCTAGTTTGAGCGAGGCTGACATCAAAGTGGACTACTTCTGTCTTAAAACAACTTAAGTATCAAAACTCTCTCATTTGATTCGTATAATATAAACCTGTACATTGGCATCAGTTTCACATCACTGAGTTATTCCAGCAGAAACATTTTGATAATCCTGCTGAATTGCTATTTGCGCTGCAAAACCAACCAAATATTTACTGAAAAGCAATAAATAAAACTGTAATTTGAAAGTGAATATTATGTATATGTTGGTCAAACAGTGTTGAAACTCATACAATGTTAAAGATTGGAGTTGTTTTAAAATGGCAGCAGTCCATTTTGGTTTAGCTGCTTGCTTGAAAATCTATTGAAATACATTTTCACCCTTCAAATGGAGGTCATTTAAAAAGCTATCTATGACAGGTAAGATATTATTGTTCATATTTTTTCTACATATCCTCACTTCAAAATATCTGTACCAGTGTTTTCATTTTTATCCTAAATCAACATACCAAAAAAACTGTTTAATCTGTCAGTGCTTTTAGGTGCACGTACCATGTCTGTAACACTCCTTGAGCTTCTCAGTCAGCCACAGAATAGACTTGACGCCCATCTTTGTCCCAAAGTTTCTGTCAAAGGGTGTCGGAGTGCCACCCTGCAGTCAGACGACAGTAAATGCAGCGCAATATTTCAACAACGAGTGGGGAGAAGTGTGTCACTTGTGTTCTGGATGACTCGTTCTCACTTGTTGCATGTGTCCGAGGACGTTCTTACGACAGTCGAAGACTCCTCTGCCTTCCTCGGAGTACAGGTTGAAGATGAAGTCGGTGCTGTAGTTAGAATTGCAGTTTTCGTTCCTTTTGGAGAAGGAGCAGCAGAACATTATTTAAACGTACTATTCAGAGTCAGAGTTTCTTTATTGTCATTCGCACCTCATGTTGTACATGTGGAGCGAAATTATGTACACAGGGTCCCAGTTACATCCAACAATAAAATGTATAAGAAAAACAGTAATAACATCTAAGATATGAACTAAGAAAAACATCAACTAAATATACACTAAGCACTCATAACATAAAAACATTGAACATCAGCACAAACATGAACATGAGTCTGTGAGCAGATGTGCACGCATGAACATTGAAACAGATCAGCAGCAACATGAAACAGATCAGCAGCAACATGAAACAGATCAGCAGCAACATGATATGGTTTTTCACAATGATTATTCTAGTTAGAGATTCATGAGTCTAACAGCCTCAGGGTAGAAGCTGTTCCTCAGTCTGTTCTCAGTCTTCCTATTCTGCTATTATATGAAAAAAGACACAGAGAACATGTGAATTATGAGCTCTTTACAATCTTTACAGCCATTTCTATAGTTTAGTTTGGAGTATAAGAGCTACCAAGAACAGGATTCTTATTTTTAAGTATCCCAAAGCAGTGATGGTAAAACTGTGAGCCGGGCAAACTAAACATGTTTCTTCTGAATTTAAATTGGTAAACAGGTGATTTTATCAACTGTATTAGGATTTTTTAGCAAAAATTGTCTCGTGTAGATGCAAATGGACACAGATACGGTATACATCTTGAAAAAGCAGAAGAAGTGCAAATCTTTACTGTATAGATTTTTCTGAGATCAAAGTGTAAAAATAAATTCATTAACATATTTAAAACCATAATTAACTATCTAAACAGGTATTTAATCTTTAATACCCATGTTGTTTCTGTTGCAGCTGTCTTGTTTTTCGTCGGAGCAAAACCCACCTGAGAACCAAACCTCTTTTCACCGTTGTCTTCATCTTCTCCAAGAGATGTTGTACGTTTCCCTGTCGTCCAAATTTCAGAGAACACAGGAAACGCATGATTGCTCACTCTGCAGAATGTTATAAAAACAGAACAAAATACAAGAAATAATACAGCTCACTCTATCTATCCATCTATCTATCTACCTATCTACCTATCTATCTATCTCTATATCTATCAATCTATCCATCTATGTATACATCTACATATCTATCTATATCTAGATATAAAGATCTATCTATATCTATCTATTTATCTCTATCTCTCTATCTTTATATCTCTATATCTAGATATAGATATATAGATCTATCTATCTCTCTCACTTTCTGTCTCTATCTATCTATATCTAAATATCTATCTATACATATACACACACACACATATATATACACACACACATATATATACACACACACA